TCCCAAACAAGAATTCAGCTTAAGTCGTCATAACTCTCATCATAAAATATTGCATTTTAATAAGACGGAAAACCATCGCCACATCTACGTACACAAACGGAGTATATGTCAAGACCTACTCAAATTTGTCTGTCGAAACAGAGGTAAATAGACTCACTATTAGTGGATTATCCTGATCTATCGCAAAACACTCTACTCACAAATGAAGAAGGTAATTGAACGTGAGGAGTGATGTCTCTAGTTTAAGGATTTTACGCAAATTTGGATTTGCGAACAGCAGTCCCAACTTGGATACGAATGAGTCATTGTTCAACAAATAGCGTGCATCCAGATACTCCCATGCAAAATGTTCCTGTAAAGCCAGCACGTGTGGTAGATCTCATAGGAGGAATTTCCTGTCAGCTATACAGTTTGACGCCTCATTTGAAAGCACGCAATTAAATATGACTTCATTTAATTTTGATAGTAGCATTATAGTGTTAATACTTTCGAGATTTTTAAACTATCGCATTCTGGAACATCAATACCGTCCTGGAGTTTGCATTCTGGTGTGTCTATTGCGATGGTCCACTGAATATACCTGAATGGTCATACCCGAGCCAGTAAACTTGTCCATGCTTGGGTGATCTCTCCTAGAATGGCGACACATCAGTAACAACAACAATTCATTCTGTATACATTTATGCCCAACCTCTTCATCAGTTGATGTTTTGCACAGAGATGACAGTACTTCATTCAATATTGTAGAGACCAATAAAGTCAAATTAACCCAGTTTGGGTGGAATCTCTTTTCTCATTGATGCTCCAAAACTCAAAAACATGTGAACATGCGGTTAGGCAAAATTCAAACTTTTGGCTGATGAGGCGGTTAATTCGTACATTCGGCTAAGGGCAATCGTTGTACTTTATCGAGCTGTATGGCTGATGTGCTACCCAACACTTTAGTCACGTAACTTACTTGAGATACCTTTTAAAATTTAATGGTGATGCGAAGATTATCTGACCTAATTGCTGCATGCTTGCCAAATTTGGCTGCCCACTTAAATACACATATGGTGGTCCTTTCCCAATTTTTTACCTCACCTCCGTTCACCTTTCAGTAAAAAATTGTTCAAAAGGCAGTTGATGGGTCCCAAGTTTTGTGGAGGAGAGAATAAAGTGTTTCAGGTAGGATATTAATTAACAGTAGATCGGTCGAAATAATCTTGCCGGCTTAAGCTGAGCAGGTATCAGGTAACATCACACTTGAATCCGACTTTTTTATAACACACCATACTTACTCTTTTGAATGACTTACGTAAGTGTCAGTCAACGACAGCTAATTATAAAACTGGTATTATCCGGGGTACTTGGCTTCATGAAAAAACGGATTCGGATTTCGCGAGTTAATTTGTCTCGTCAGACTTTACCTTACAAATAGGGGTGGCGTATACGTAACATAGTCAAGATAAATTTTGGCCGAAGGTAAGGAATGTATGATACAGAAAACAGGATCAGTGTAGCAAAGTGCGGATGAGAAAAAAGTTTGCAAACTGGATGTGTCACCTTATAAGCACTAGTAGTAGTGCAGTTTCAAGATCCATATGTATACCGCCGAATCACAGAATTGTTTAGAATGCGAGGTCCCGGTACACGAAATCGCCATTTTTTACTTTGTTCGCAGCTTCGAATACTAGTTTTCATGTGTTAAATGTGTGTCCAACTGAGCACCGGCTGATGGCTATTGCGAACATTATGAAAATTCACTGGCGCTCTTATATATCCATCTCATTTTCGGAATTTATGTTCCAGCTGGGTTCTGAATGCCAGTTAAATGGCGTAAATGCAACCAACAGATGGCAACAAAGGTCCTCGCAGAGTTTTTTCTACGCATTCGTGTAAATTGATCATTACCGACACCTTGTACATACAAATATTTATAATGTGAGCTGGCCACTTGTATCATTTTGTGGCATCTATGGATTTGAATATCAGCAAAGTGTTGCTGAACACAACAGTTTTCTCCGCACCGATGCCTCGTTAGCCGGGGCCAGTATCCTCACGTGGGCTTCTTAATGCAGATAATCTGATCACCTTGGATTTTTCTTGTTTATATAATCCCGCTAGCAGTTAGAACTTTTGTTATCGTACTCATTAGTTCTACTAAACTGCTCTGCATTGTTAAAGTTTTCCGAAGTTCCCTCTCTAATAAAAGAAAGCCAGTTTCAGTGCCTCACGTGACTTCCACAATTGACTGTGTTCCGGATTTCGACGTATTTGGAACTGCCGTAGGCCTTAAATTCAACCTGTCAAAATGTATTAGTTATGTTGTCAGGTTACTTACCGAAGCATCTACATGTAGTTAATTACTAATTACTTGCTTTTGTTTACAGTTGCAACCAACAAAATATCACTTTATTCAACAAGATTAAAGAGATATTCGACCTCTGCCGCATTATGCTCATGGCTGAATAGGACAGGCGTTTAATGTACCATGAGAGGAATTAGGAACATCCAGTTGGAGGTAGTCAACCGCAGTTGACGTTCATGTTAATTCCGAAGCGTTCATCGACAGTGAAAATTGATGATATATATTAAATAGTTCTGCATATTTGAGCAATACGGTAAGGGGACAAAATCTGTTGAATAACGATATTTCTATTCCAGTTCTTCCGCTGAAACACAAAAAAGTTATTAAATAACCTGGTAGAAGAGCGCCAACCTATTTTGACTCAACACGGTTGCGTTCGTGAGTTCTGGGCAAGTGCGTACCTTGTGCAATGTTCTGTTGTGCACGGAAACTGACTGGTATTGATTCACCAATTTTATCTCACAGGAAGCTGGCGATTTCGGGCCAGGCCTGAGGAGTATGATGCTGAACTGTAGCCACCTCTATGACCAGGGAAGAAAATATGCCGAATAAGCGGTGAGGAAGGTTTTGCGTCTCAGCCTGCTGATCATCGGTTGATTGATCACTTGCTCCACACGGACATCTCAGCATGTTTTCAGAATAGAGCTGTTTGTCAACTCACAGCGCGTGATATATTGAGGCTGGCCGGTGTCATGGTGTGCTTCCAAGTTTGGTTTGCTCCGTTCATGACAACCGGATTAGTTTAGCTGTTGGGTGTGCACATTTAGTTACAGATTTTAAGTTTTCCTTTGCGGCCATAGCTTCTTAGTTTGCTTAAAGCTGTGACCCAGTAAAAAACTTTTATCCCCCCCAGAACACCGTACTGATATATTTTCTGGACAGAATTAATCCGGGAAGTCACTACCGACTTTGCCTTGCTTGTGACTAACTCTGAAGGTTTAGATGCATCATGTCCTATCTGAACAACAAATATTTGGGAAAGTAACAAACTGTAAACAACTTCTATTGCATTATTGCAATAGAAGTTGTTTACTAACTCAGCATGATGTAAAACGCGATACATAAAATACTTCAGCACATTGTTTGACGGGCCACACTACTTAGAAGGTCGCTGAATAGTTAGCCTATCTATCCGCCAGTGGCGTTTGCAAGCAGGTATTTTTAGGAACGGCGAGACAGGCCAGAGATTATAATCCCCGGAAAAAATTGTATTCTTATTCTAAAGGATCGCAGATGGCGTTATTTGTGGTGCATGCGAGATCCACAAGCCACTAAATATCGGCCGAAAACCGAATCGGTAAAGACATCTACGTGGGAGAAGACCGCTGGCTTTCGGCTTCCATGAATTTGTAGAAGGCTAGTTTTTCAAAACATGACCGTAATGTTTTATTTCTCCATTCGACGTGACCTTAAAAATAAGGCAGGATGTTCGTTTTTCTTTTCTGCAAGCGTTCATTAAGATATACCAAACAGGGCTAGAATTGCTATCGTTGTGCAGGAATATTCATTCTTCGGAGGGCAGAACCCGTTACAAATATGTGTTCCAAAGACAGTAAAAGAATATCCTCTAGAATCTTACACTGCTATTCATATTTTGTTTGAATCTGCTGTACTAAATCCCCTGATGACCTGAAGATCATTTATGTTCCATAGTTGCATGGTATTACCGCTTCAAGAGACTGACTTCCAATATGGTTTTCATTACTTAATCGCAAAATTATTGTTTTTCATTTGGGATTTGTTTTGGCTCGTCCACTGACCATTCAATGCCTTAGTTTGTGAGAAACCGATCTGGAAATTTTACGCCTTATTACTTTTTCTAAGTCTGGATAAACAGAAAGAAGATGCATCTAATGACGGCCACTTTTATTCATTAGATGATTCTTCCCTGAATTGGACATGAGGACGCGGTTTTCATTCCCGTAACGGTGGATATAATTTGGTTTAGAGCGACTGATTTGAAGGAAACCATCACAGTGTCATGGCAGTGTTTTTTCTACAACCTCCGTTCAGTTTGAGGAAACTCATGGTAATTTATCTGCCATGGAAAATGTTACAGGAGTTGATGGAGTACCCGGAATTCACCCGATCGTAACTATTGCTAGGGTGGCATCTTAATATTCTTGGTTATTCGCTGTTCGTGGCAGCTTAAACTCGAGCTAGCTGGAACTGTAATGGGAATGATCCTCTCTTCCACTGAATTCACCTATAGCAGCATTCTTTTACTGGTCTTGGCGATCTGGGAGGAAACTACTGCCGATATCATGCAAAGCTTCGTCGTCATGTTGAATATACTCAGAGGATGTATGCGGTTGTGTGAAATCAATATTTTGGGTAAAACTTTATGTGGGTCCCAACAAACAGTTGTATAAACGCATGCAAGTCAACAAACAAGAGCAGTGATCATTTGTCATGACCGACAATTTTAGGTTTGAGTGGTAAACACTGCGTGTTTTTGTCCCTGTGTGTGTTTGTGTTTGTTGTCAATTTCCAGTGCGTGAAAGCCAGTGCACCGCGTTATCGATGATAACGATCGGCATCATATATTAATCCACTATAATCAAGATATAACTCTACAAGTGAAGTTAACCTGCGCTGAATGTTCATGTAGCATTGTTTTACTCTTATTTGAAATTGATGACATGCGCACCGGACATGGATGGACGCGTAGTCTCCGCCGGAGTTAGGACAATAAAACTTCTGGCCGTTGCTGGCTGACCAGAAGTATGAGGACCAGTCAGCTTGTGATATCGCCATGTGTGATGCGATTCTCGTGAATAGAGGATGGTCGGCCCTAAGGTATATTTAAAACGGACAAAATCACTGCCGAATAGCATCTCGTAGCCTTATTGGTCTAGTTTCCAAGTACCGGCCGATAGATGGCAGGTTCGAATCCACCCTTTGGATTCGTAAGATTCGCCTTACTGCTGACGCGCAGCAATGATCAACCGTACAGTGCTTGTTGCCTGTGGCATGTGAGTTTGACTGAAATTTTAGAGCGATATGTTACCGGCATTAAAGTGATAATCCATTAGACAAAGTCAGGTTTATAGTTCAAGTCCAGAATTTTGACCCACCTATCAGGACTTTCCAATCAGATAGCGCCATGGACACTTGAAACCTGCTTGACAATTTTTCGCTGGTAGAAGGCGGTTAACTAATTTGCAGAATTCAAGTTTACATAACGCTCGTTTGAACAGTTGTCCTCCTGACCTGGTGCGATCCAACTGGTGAAAGCACACCAAAGTGGAGAAGCACTGAACTCGAGTTTCGCCCATATAGGACTCAGCAGCATGCCTTCTTCGGTCCTGTCAGTGTTCCAACTCCATAAATCTGACATGCAAGGCGGCATGTTAGCACTACTCCACCAGCTACACTGGACGCAACTGAATTTTCAATTGGCAACAGGCCAACCTGTTTACGCTCGAGCGATGTGGCTAATCTGCCCGACACTTCGAAAGCGACCCAGTAATTGCCCGGGTTGGGCTGAACGAATAATTCCACCTGTTGGGAATTTCCAATCGGATGGCATAATGGGAGGTTGCTGTGACAATTTTTGATGTCAGTTGCACGGAGTTCAAGTTTCTGTCCAGTCAAGGATATCCACTGGTGATGAGCTCTAATAATAGTGAGAATCAAGCTCATTACTTCTCCTGTCCGGGGTGAAGTCGCCAGAATAATTTACCTAAAACAGAAGAACGGCTGTCAAAGGAGTGATTTCAAAATCGATTCTGGATATCCCGCAACCACTCAGCCAACATTTTAATGCTAATTTGAACTAAGCTCTATTGAACAGCTGACGAGCATTGTACGACTGTTTCATGCACCCTGGAAATTGCCATGGTGACTTAAAGTATATGCAGTGTTAAGAATGAAACAACTGTAGCATGTTTATAGGCTTTCCGCCCTAGATTTGCTACACACATATACCTCTAAATTCACCCTTACACCGCTCTACAAGATGAATGTAATGTACTTACTATCCTCACTGAGATGCGTTAAATAACCTCGAGCCATGTCGATGTTTTCCCATGCATAACATCATGCACCACAGGTGTTTGCGCTGAATTTGTCGTGCGACCAGCCTTCCTGTGAATATAATTCCTGAGAAAAGATAGTCAGACAATAGTTCTGGATGGTTTCAGGGTCATCAACATACACAGCTGGTGGCCAATCCCTCCGTACACATATGAATGCAATCAGATGGCCTGTCAGCCAGAAGAAACAGCTTCGACTGTAATGGAAATGTTTATGACTCATGAGACCTGATAAATATTACTTTACTATATTGAGTAAATGAACATAAAGCTAATGACAGAATTGGCAACCATGAGCCAAACGTCGGGTCCAAAGTGTCATGTCACAAAACGAAATGTTCTAACTTGTAATTTATCAGATGTTCACTGGTGTTCAAGTAGTACGTCAGCAAAAAACCGTCGTCAAGCGCAGATATCTTTGCAAGCGATATGACGGAAATGCTCTCCACCGAAATACAGGAAAGCAACTGATCACTGGTCAACCTAAATGAACAAAGACATCTTGGCTATATTCTAGATATAGTTTGAAGTACACCTTCAGCAATTGTGTCCACTGACTGACAATAACTCTGCCCGTGAGTGACCAGAAATACCTGTGTTGTGCAAAAAAATCAAGCAAACTGTTCTCCGGACCATTAGTGCTTGCGGGTTTTTCTATAACAGTCGTTGTCGTCCTAATCATATGACCAAAATTACACAAATAATTCACCCCGCCCCATTTTGCACCCCAAAAGTGAAGTAAAAGTGTGTTGTGCAAATAACGCTTCTCACCGCCGTTTGAAGGTAAGTGGTTTTTTTAGTAAACAACCATTGCGTTTGTTTGTTGAGCTGGGTAATTTGCTTGCAAACGTTTCATCACCGATCTACGTGACATTATCAGTGCGTTATTGGGGATCGTAGTTGTGCGTAGCGGGGGTTGGTGGTTATGCACTGAGTGGTGTTAAGTATGCGTTAATATACATGCTGTTGGCCGGAGATGACCTTTGACCGCGATTGGTTGTTAGGTCGGGCAGTTCCATTGATTCCATTGATTGTTATCCCGGGTCCTCATTCACCGATGCCCACGTGACCTTTGAACTTGGCATCTCTCACCATCGTAATCTGGTCGATGTTGGAATGAACTTTGTCCTTCCGAGTTCCGGCTTGTAGCCGTTATTGATTCGATTCTGAGGATTTCCTCGTTTCTTTGTTTGTGAATCCAATATTCGGTCTTTCTTGAGTGTTCCGGTTGCGACGTGGGTCTTTTGCACGTAGAGATGCGTAAATTGGATTCCGTTCGATGCACCGGTTGGTCGATCCTGCCGTGGAGTACTATACTTCCAGAAATTCTCCTGCGTGCCACGTGTCCCCGTATGCCAAAATTCTTGCGTTTTCCAGATTGAATTTGTGGCCTTCTCGATCCTCGTGTATAGATATTAAAGACAGGTAGTCATGCCTCCTGACAGCCGCGTTGTGTTCCTTTATTCGTGTGCATAATCTCCTCCCAGTTTGTCTGACGTAGAATTTGTTGCAGTTGTTGCAGTTGAGTTGGTATATCGCATTGTTCTTCTTGGTTTTGTCTCGGTTGTCAATCGGACTAGAGATTAAATTCCTTAGGGTGTCATTCTGTTTGTGGGCCACGAAGATTCCTTTTTGAGCCAATAATCTGGTTGCGAGTTCCGATATATTCCTGATGTAAGGCAGGACTACCAGTCTGGTTGCTTGTTCTAGCTTTTTCTGTTGTTGAGATGTCTTCTTCTCCAAGCTTTTCTTGATAAAATTCCTTGGACATCCATTGTTATGAGACACTCTGAAAGAATGGGTTCCTTCCTTCATCCGCAGTTCCTCTTGTGGTTTACTGGATGATTGCTGTTGTAATTCAGTATTTGGTCCGTATGCGTCTCTTACCGGTATACACAGGTTAGCCTGTTAGCAGCACGTATAGTAACACACGAGTAACACTACTCAACGTTCAACCACTAACCCACCGCTACGCAACACTACGCTCCCCAATAACGCACTGATGATGTTACCTCGATTGGTGATAAATCGTTTGCAATCAAATTGCCCAGCTCAGCGAACAAGCCAACGAATATCTACGCTACGTGAACTACCAACATTTTTCTCTATAGAAAACCATTGTATTCTTGGACGCCCGAGCTAATATAACTCCCAATGAGTACAACCAGATGGAAGACACCAAATAGTTTTGGTTTGTGTCTCATGATTCTGTATTATGTCCAGAGATCTGCAGATTAAGTATGCTGGACCAAGTCAACTTTCACATTGGAAGAACAATTTTAGGATTGGAGCACTTTTTGGGCCACAAAATATATTGATATGACGCTACTTAATTCGTCCAGATAGATCTATCCCTTCTATGCGGATATGAGAACCGGCTTTGTTTTGCTTACGAGGCTCATCCTTGCAGGCCTAGCTGAAACAATCTCAGTAGTGTCTTGCTACATTATTTACGTACTATGTCTATTCACCTGAGTAAGAATTAAGCCACACGGTGCTTATCATTCTGTGGTTATCTCCTAAAGTTTCCAAAATGAATGCAAGCATACATCCAGCTTACGTTCCTTCTCACGAGAGCAATTAATATCTGATGGTTTTTAAACGGTCATTCGCCCGGCTGAGTTTAGAAAACCTTGGGGTCATTCCGCTTCAATCTGAAATAGCATGGCATATTTGAATTTATACTGCACCCTATCATGCAGTTTCGTTTTGTATGCTCTCTCTGAGTCGCTTAGCAGCTAGATTTGTCCGTATCAATATCGTTTTTCAACGAACCGTATAGTGTAGTTTTCAACTGAATATGGCACGAAGAGGCCAAAAATCAGATTCAGCAACCATAAGTATGAGCCCAGATAATAACAATCTGTAAATTCTGCAAGAATATTAGTTTTGGAGCTGCACTCCCAGCCTGAATTCCAAGATGACTTATTAAAACAAGGGTCAGGTTACTGCAAAGTAACAAGACGCGAGGTTGTAGCAGGTAGTACGAGAAGCCGCACAGTCATAATCGGTTTGAAGAAAGGTTGGTATTTTTCTCTTGCAATTATACTCGACTGCATCCGTTTCTGATCAGATAGATTTTACCGAACTTTTTTGTTTTTGGACAGCCAAGAAGCTAATAAGATTATTCAAGCATATGACATCACCATTGGTTGGCAGTCATTCTTTCTCACTCGTTTGTTCGTTGCTGTCATTTATAAACATAATTTGCATGCTTGTTTGCCTTGCCTAATTGCAAGCAAACCTTTATTCGTTTATATATGCACTGTGTAACCCGTAGATGCTAAGTACAGCAGGATGGTATGTATGATGACAAAACATAGTGAGCATTCCAAACAGTACTCACATCCAAAGAAGCACTGGGAAGTTACATTTCATACGGACGACTGTCTCCTAAAAACCTACGTCGCGACGTGACCAAGCAAAGAGTTGACACCAAAGTTGCGAAATCGATTTTGTTCCTGTTGAGAAACTGCTCAGATATTTTCAAATTAAGGAATGTCAGACAGAGTCCAGTTTATCCAGGTAGTCACCTTTTCGTAAAGTCGAATTTCCGCAATGAATGTAAATCTATTTCTCCAACATTCTCTCCATTGCCTAATTCTCCTGGTCATGCCTTTTCACGTGATCGTTGATTTAGGAAACCCTTGGTGGATGAAAACTCTTGATAACCTACTGTCAGCTTGTATAGTACGACCCTTAGGTCTTCCAACAGTGAACTTCGGCTCCTAGAGCTAGACACTGACCTTTTAAGGATTAAGCAAATTTGCCTAGATGTACTTAAAATACGACCATCCCGAAATTGCAGATCAGTTACCTCGTAACCTATGTATTATATGAACCTATTCAGCATGTCAGGGGACTTGGGAAGGTTTCGTGATTTCTAGGTATTCATATACGTATTGAAATTTCTGAAACCTTGGAATCAATGAAGTCGCTCTGTAAAAGATACAGTGCTAATGTGGGATATTCGACAACGTTCTATTTCTCACACACATTTTGGAATGACTGTTCAGTATCCGCAGGTAGTTTATTGCCGCTTCCGCGTTTTCAAAGCACATGAATATGCTCTCCAAATTGAGCATCGTTATTTTTGAAATCTCACCAGTGGTCTTAGATGAATGTAGAAAGCGTTGAAGCTATGGTCCCAATAAAGCCATCTAGAAAGTCAGTGAAATGCTGTTGACGACGATGAACTCCGTTGATTCTTCAGTTTCAGCAACTTGAGCCTACAAATGATATTAACTGTATACTTTTGCCCAAATTGCTGTTTGGTTGACGGAACGATTTTTTCAGATTTCAATGAAGATGTATGCTATGTGATGCAAAGAGAATGCAGTGTTCTGTTTAAGTTGCTTTTAGAAAAACCCTATGACCACAAGTGATTTTATTCTCTGGTTCATTTCAAGAGAAAAAATGAAACGGAATCATAGGTGTGCACATTGTATGTAGTAACCAATAGAATCGTCAAAAAAGATTTCCAAATCTTACCATGACCAAGAATAAAGCCGTCGTACGTGACACAAAAATACCAAATTTTACTTTCCGTTTCAGCTCTCCATGTGAAGGGAATTTTACTTCGTTCGGATATTTAATGTGACCAGTTTGTTTGGATATACGCCGTTCTATTCTGTCAAAAGAGCAATTTGGCATCCCACCTTATAGTGAGCATTTCGTGTGATCAAAGAAAACAATGTCGTTTATGACTGAAAATCTCTCCGGTCAAATTCCAACAGTTATTTCTATGCTCATCATCATCAGCATAGTCGGGAGCATTGGTAATCTGCTCGTCGTTATTGTCTACGCATTGAAGCATGACAGACTCACGGCCAACGTGTTCATTCTTGTGCTCGCCGTGTCAGATTCCCTATGTTGTCTCACGCTTATCCCCGTAACAATTATCGTCGAATATATCGACTGGAAAATGCGCTCGAATTTTTTGTGCAAAGCATACTACTGCCTAAACACGACGTTCATATTGTTCAGCAGTCTTCTGATCAGTTGCATTGCATTCGATCGATATTTCTGCCTATGTCATCCGTTCCGTCGTATACTTACAATCGAACGGTCGAAAAAACTTGTAGCAGCTGTTGTGTTGGTTTCGATGGCAATGGGAGTGAGTTCAACTTTCACTGTTCATGTGGTATTGCGTCATAACGTAACGGGTAACTACACTGAAGAGATCGATGTGTGGGGTTCTCCGGTGGCTGCTCTATTCGAATCGGACTACAATCGGACATCACTTGGTGTATACGAATGCACAGAGACTATCATAGCTGACCATACATTGGTGCAAGAAATCATTTACCATATTGTGCAAAAATGCCAAACAGCTTGCTACATATTTTGTATTATATCCGTGGTTGTTCTTTACATACTGATCTACAGATCTGTTTCAAAGGTGAGTGAACATCATTTCAGTTACTTTGCCTTTCAACCGAGCGTTCAGCAAATGTTTTTTTCTATTTGAACTGTGCTTTTTACAGGATATTCTACTATAGTTGAAGCTAAGAAACAACTAACGGTAACGCGGTTCCTGGAAGGCGAGATTACGTGAGAAGACGGAGAGCAGCATGAAGTAGAAACGGCTGAGTAACACTTGGATGGAATATAACATCTGGGTGACGGATCAGTTCAGTGTTTGCGTTCGACTAAAAAGCATAGGTCTATCTTTTTCGGATGGTAAAATCGAATTCATAAATTAGTGCGTCATTTTCACAATATATGCTTATCTCTCCATGTGATGGCACTTGTGCACTGATGTCCATCCTATCAACAAGTATATTGACAAGCTGGCTAAAATGCCTAGAACGGAAAAAGGAAAATATGACTGAACTTGTTTGGAGCTTTCACACGCCATGTCTTAATTGGACATATTTTTCCAACCGCATACATCCACTTCAGGATCCATTCGCAAGTGAATGAATGACTATGAAAACTAAAGTCTATAAAATCCACACACAGGATATACATGTGCTTGATATGATCACCTGGAATAAAAACCTTGAACATTTCCAATTTCTAAACGACTGGTGTTTACAAATGTCGTCTACATGCACAGATTATATCTGGCCAGCCATATATCCGTTGGAACCATCGGTAATAAGATCTTTGGCGAAACACAAACGGTGAGAAATTCATTTTCATCTTAGCGCAAAACTCTAGTGAAGTCTAATTATAAAGTTGTGCTATGGTACAATATCTTTCATTTTTCTTATTGCCTAATTTGCCAACGAATAGTAACTATTCACCACCCACCTGTGCACTGTAGTTGTGACATCTTTTTATTTATTTGGTCAAAACTCGTGACCGTCACTATCGAGGCATACCTGAGTAAGAGCATAATCCCATGGGTTGTTTCGTAGACAACAGTTGCCAAACGTCCATGCATTTTAAACATATTTTGTGTTTAGTAGATGGTACACGCACGACTCTGTATATTTTGTTGTCTCCAGTAGTCGGTTGCTAAACGAACGAACACCTAATTTTGATGAATTTCTCTATTTGCGTATATAAACAATTTTTAGAAATCCCTAATGTTGTGTCAAACAGCTACGCTGTGATCAGCTTCGTTTACCTGTTTTTTGTTTAATAACCCGCAGTAATTACTGGCATTTTGTAATACTGGTAAAGAAAATCTACACCGAGAAGCATGGTACATCTGCTTCATCCTCATTCGAACGCTTACTGTCAATAGCCTCCCGATTAGAGAATAACTGATGTACGGTGCTTCCGGAATTTAGGAAAGCCTGGCCTCCATTACAGGAGAAAATCTTAGCTGAAAATTAATTATTTGTTGACACTACCATCAAAGCCTCACTCACCGAATTTTTCTGCATAATCTCGCGATTTTACATAGCACCGGATGTTCATAACAAATTCTTTCTGCAAAATCTCCACTGATAAATGCAACCATGAATGTGGCGCTTTCAATGAGAAAAGACTTGTAGCTATGTTTAGACAGTCACTCTGACCGAACAGGTGATTTTTCCGCATGAGACGATCTGCCGTCTCTCATCACATTTCTTGCTTGTCTGGTTTTATATAGTGACTGCATATGCTCAGTGATTTCATGTGACAGGTGTCGCCATAACTTTCGACACCTCTGAAAATGAGTGGCTAACTTATCACAAAATTTTGGTGTACCGAATGGATTTAAAATCGCCTGGGTAAGGGCCAGAGTTGCCAAGAGTTTCAGATTAATAAGAGCAAAACTGGCATCTAGGGAGAAACAATTTCCCCTCAAGTACGGGTTGCACTACAGGGGACCGACCGTCAAACAACTGCAATGATTTGATAGAGCATCATATTTTCCAGATGCTCCGAGATCACACTTGAGTCCCTTCCATTCGTGTTTATCACTATTCAGATACACACATACTTATATATATGATGCCAATGGAGTAATTTTTCTGAATTAAATTACGCTACATAAGGGTGTTTGCTGTAGTTAGTGACTATCTTCCTGCCTTGTCATCGCACTGAGAAAAAAAGTATCGTGTCATCATGGAACAAGCAAAGTTGTTACTGAATGAAAGTAAAAACATCTTTTCTTAAGCACCCTTACAAGAACACAAACTGAAATACAGTTTTGGTAATGTACTACTGAAAATGTACTGCTGAAAATTCGTCGACAGCCCACTACCGGATTTGCCCTGTTTTGGGCTCGTCATATAGGCGTAGTCCTCGGATTTCCATCGACCTTCTGTTCTTTTTGAAACCTTTTTGCACGAAATTAGCGAATAAACACTCATCTGCAAACTAATTTGGTTTTTCGAAAGACTCACCTGAAACTCAGCTGAATCTATCGTTTGTGATGAGTTCAGGCAACTGAGTGTGCTACACCAGGCCGCCTCATGTTTCACTCGCTACGATATTCGAGATATATGTATATCTTGGTAATGTACTACTCATAAGGTTGCAGAAAATCCATCCACCACGGCCGGTTTCGCCAAGATATACATGTATCGCGATATCTCTCGAAAAACCTAAGTATTTTGCAAATGAGTGTATATCCGCTAATTTCGTGCAACTTGGTTTCAAGTAGAACACTAGATTAATGGAAACCCGGGGACTACGCCTACCTGATGAGCCCCAAAAACGGCAAAACCGGTCGTGGGCTGTCGTTGGCTTTTCAGCAATCCTATGAGTAGTACATTACAAAGATAAACATGTATCGCGATATCTCAAATATCGTGGCGACTAAAACATGAGGCGGCCTGGTGCAGCACATTCAGTTTCCTGAAAACATGACACATGTGTGATTCAGCTGGGTTCCTGGTGAGTCTCTCGAAAAATCAAATTAGTTTGCAAATGAGTGTATATTCGCTGAAATATAATTTGTTCAAAGCAGAAAACGCCGTTTTGTTTACTGGTCACAGTGGACCGTCTAGGTATCACTGGTTGTGACCCACGAACGAAACTTTTCGTAGGACACTCTTAGGTTACCTAGGTTTAGGATTGTCGAAGCTAAAGTTTACCAAACATTCAACGCATTAAATTTCTGGCACGCCTCATGAAATCGTGAACGAATAATGAAATATTCCAAGAGAAACTATGTTTGGCACCGGTATGTCTTAGACAGTTTTACGTTGGAGGAGTCGATGGAAAACGAACATGGGGTAAACAAACTACCGAAGATGGAGATCGGAGACAATTTTCGAGGGTTCAAATATTTCCAAGCTAGGTGATGCGGAAAAGTTCTGCCCACTACCTCGCAGCGGCACTTTAACATCCAATGTTTTAGGCATTTTTACATTTACTACTTGAAATGATTGTAGTTTAACGTAAAATTGTCTTGATCCACAATGGCCAGGTAGTGGAGTTCCATTCGGTAGCCCGGTGTACTTAGTAAAACGACGTGTTCTATCTTCAAATGGGCTTCTGATCCCTAGAAGAATGATGCTTTGTGTTTAAAATTTGGCTTTTCCTGGATTACAAAACATGGAATAGGAAGTTCTGAAAAATTGATTGAGCCATATTCTAGAAAGTTCGAAGTAACTTCAAATGGTTTTCCATCATCGTAATACGTAGGAACCACTGGTTCAGATGAGACTTACAGAACGATTTACTGCAGAAACACAGTGAACCAGTAGAAGTAGTTAACTTGATAGCTGAGTATACAATAATTTTGTGCTCAGTAGTGCTTAAGTTGGCGAAAATTACAGTAGTTTGCCTTACGATACGAACACACAGGTTTGATTCTACCCACTTCGTTAAACTAACGTGGTTGACTAAAACATCATTGAGGCAACACCCATGCCCTGGAGCAATTTATTTCTGGCAGACCAACGTTATTGATATTACCACAATGGTTACAATGATCTTTGGTATCAAATTGGTTGTTCGCACATTCTGCAATTTAGCTTCTGATTGTTTCTAAATCCAACAGTAATCGTAATGGCCTTGAAAATAGCCAAACAGCATCAATCGATTTGGCGTAAAATAGTCACAATCAAAGAAGTCTTTCAAAAACTGTCCTGGATACGCATTCATAAAAAGCAACGGGAAGATTTCAGCGGTATAGTGTCACTCAAAAGTGGCCATATGGAGGTAAACAAAGAATCCATGTTATATGTTCTGTTCTTACATGAATATGGAATTAGGCATAGAACCACATGCATAATCTGGAAATTCCGTCTGCCTCCAATTCAAAGTGTAAGATTCAGTTGCAAATGTTCCGTCAGTAATGTTGAAAAACTGTGTTGGCATATAAGTACTATCTCTGTGGTAAAGAATTTGAAATGATTAGTGGCCAACATCCAAGCTACTGTCCTTAGCCAGCATAAGAAAAAGGCATTAACGTAAACCCTGAATCAAACAACCATTTGACAACAAGCTATTTATTTCGTTCTTTGACAATTCGCGTGCCCATATTTGGCAGAATGCTTCAGAACGGGTCAAGATTGTTAATTTGGTCATACCCATTGTGCGCGTCCAGCTTTCAACACAATCAAGCGTCGAAACCTTTTAATCTTACTTAGAGTACCAGGTGGGCTGCTAAACTCCCTGTGGGAAAAGAATTGGCCGCGGAATTTGGTGAACTCAATGGAAATAACTTGGTAGTACACCATTTTTTAGTCTGAGTTTACAGAAATTATGCGCATCAATTATTTGCTTACGAAGTCAACATTTTCACAGGCATAATGATACGTCATTATTGTGGCAAGTGACATTACTGTAACTTAGTTCATCTTTTGCAATCTGGCAGTGCAGAGACACTACAAACGTACAACGATAAAGTACAGGGTGAATAAAATTCCAGTTTGTATTGATGGTAGTATGCGAAGACTCTATCATTATTAGGAATCATCAACTGTACACACCTCACAAAACTCAGAGAGTTTCAAACCTGCGACCCTCCGGCCAGTGGTTGAAGACTTGAGCGCCAGAACAGAAGTG